TTGAAATCTCATATGCATTACTATTAACAAACATAATTCTGATTTTGGACCACCACATTGTATGTATATAATTTGCATTTTGTCACTTGCTAGTAAATGTACAAGAATTTGTAAACAGTTTGAAAACAGGACCATTTGGTTTTAATTTTCTATAAGATGGGAACAGTTTAGTTAGAAAAATGAGCTGCACAGCTTTCCTAGTTAGGAAGGGTGAAAAACCAAATAGATAAAGAGTGTCTGATGTGGAAACACATTTATTTGCATATAAATAGAAGGATGGCAGTATATTTGTTTTCATCAGACTTTGTTCATTTCATTCTCTAATTTTCCCCATATTCATTTCCTTACGGAAATTACCTTGCATATAAATCGTAATACAACTCTTTAGCTTAAAGTCCTATTTCCAATTCCAGTTCTCTGTTTCTGAAATACAAAAATACATCAAGCATATATCATTTTTCTCTGTTTCATCTCAACGTCCTGACAAAAAGGAAAGGAAAAACCTTTTATCAAGAAACCTCTTCAACCTTGTTTCAAAACATCCTCTTTTTGTTTGGTGGTTTTAAAATATTCAGAAGAAAAAGGAGCTGGCCTTTAAGTAACCAGAATGCCTAAGGAAAGAAGAAATCTTTCACAGGGAAATTAGATTCTGACAGAGTTGAGAATGATTTTCTGATGTAGGGATAAAATGTGGTTTTACTTTTAGAAATAAATTTGAAAGCACTATATGCAGAGGAAAAGAAAAATTGGTGCTCTAGAGACCTAGGACGAGATTGGAAAAGGGAAATATTAAGAGTAATTAGTGATAGCAGATTGCAAGGGAGGTGTTTAAGGCTATTCCCATGGTCTTTTTACTGGCTGGTGGGAACTACCTGGAGCCTGGTGGAGTCAACAGTACCAGGAGAGAAAAGAACAAGTGTCTCCTGTTCTGCCTCCATCTCATCCCACCCCATTCATACTCTAACTCGCTCCACTTGGACCACAATCACCTTATTTGGGTTGTTCACGTTAATGATGTTAGTGCACAGAAGCATCTCTTGGGCAGTTATTTAAACAAAAAGAACAGATATTAATAAGTCTTAAAAGCCACACTGGAAGAGTTCTGTGAGACACTGATTTATATGACTCTGGACTAAACACTACCATTTGTACAACCAAGACCAGAGCACAGGAAAGGCTTTGTCTCTTAAAGGAAATGTTCTCGCAAAAAATTAGAGGAACTTCCACTAGAAATGCAGAAATCTTGGTCAATTCTTGTTGCTTGTGGTCCTGGGAGAAGGGTGACATGGAACAGAAAGCAAAAAGATGACCTGGGTATCTGTTGTGTTGGCTGAAGTTGTAGGTCTGTATAGATTTAAAAACCACACACACACAAGCCCAAAACCCCAAAACCATTTTCCCTGAGACATCAGCTGCTACTTTTAAATGATGACATTAGACAGCATGAGAGGCAAGATAAATGAATAAATGGGCAATTGGAAGTATTAAATTTTTGAAAAAGAATAATTCATTGGCATTTTGATTTATGATTTTAATAAGAGCCTAATATAAGTAGAGATTGGTAAAAAAAAATTACTAGTTTTAGTTATTGAGTGCATCGTATCATGGTTGTTTAACTCACATGATAATTATGTTTTCTTTGGTGCATTTGGTTGTCAATATGATAATATTTCACAATTCTCAACCAGGAGCTATTTATATATGTACTGCAAAAAATGTGAATCCTATTTATTAAGTTTTGATTGTATACTTCATACTACATACTAGGCACAGTGGAAGACAAAAAAATTACAATAGACATTGCTGTATTTCAAAAATATGTCTAACATACGTGGAGTGAGTAGATAAAAACGCTAAGTGCTTTTCAGTAAAGTTCATCATTGCTTCTGAAACATGACATCACTGAAACTGTGTACATGGAAGCATTGAATAAAGATGAAAAAAAGAAATAGACACGTGTGGTCATTGTCGTTAAGCTTCCTGTGGTGCCACCCTGCCACACTCCAATGTTTTATATAGGTGCACAAGTGGTCCCCACCACCAAAGATCCTGTTACAAAGCCTCAAGAATCAAGTTGGAGTTATATTTATAAGACTCAGGAACTAATCTGCTTATAAGTTTAAATATCTTTAAATTAGGTATTTACATACTAGAAATAATGCTACATCTTAATAGAAAGTACAGATGATTATTTTTAATCACTTACACATTTTCTTTGGGGTCAAAATGAGGCAGAGATGTACAACAGGCTTTCATAAAACAAGAACAAAAGCAAACATATGTTCGCAGTGGGAAGGATTATCACTCAATCACCTGTAGTAGCAGGGCACGGTGAGCCTTTGCCAACTTACAGGGGACTGTCACATGTAAAGGGCTTCTCTAAAAGGTTGGCCATATCATTTACCGAAAGAGCAAGTTAACAGAAGCATTAAAGGCAGGAAACTTCATTGTGAGGAGAAGGGCCTAGGTTGCTCCAAAGATATGAAAGGATCACAGTTCATCTGCCAGTACTATGTAATATACTCATGAAACCTCAACACAGAAAGTAAAACTTCTTTGTCTGTGTGTCTTTGTGTGTGTAAGAGAGAGAGAGAGAAGGGGAGAGGGAGCACAGGAACATGGAAAAGGCAGACAGGCTATGAAAAGTGGATATTTCTCTTGAATAAGAGTAGAATGGCTAGTATTGTAACATTCATGCTTTACAGAATTAAAAGTAAATCTCTTTTGGAAAATACGAAATTAAGGGCCCTTTCAAATTTAATGTTCTTTGATGATATCTCAGGTGAAAGCAGAAATAAAAGGAAATATAGAGAAAGGGTTAAAAAAGAAAAAAGGAGATATGCTGAGCCTACGAGTTTAGGGAAACATTCTAGTTGACTACCAATAAGCAGCATTTCAGGGAAAGCAGATTTCAAATTCCTATGATGTCATATTCCACAATTTACATCTTAGTTGACAAAGTATGGAGGTTGAGCAAACTGACACAGGAAGCCATTTTCAGGGAAAGGTTTAGGAAAGATGAGAGAAATGGGGAAGCACATTGTTTTTTTCTGGGAATTACAGGAAGGTGCAGAAGTGGGAGGCTGCCCACTGGAAGTCCTAGATGATGAAGAGTAGTGATGTTTCTTACAAAGTTTTTGTCCCATTATTGTGATACTTTTTTAAGCGGCGAGTTTTCTCAATGCATTTACTTTGTGATGAAGTTTACCGTGATCAACGTTACCTGCAAACATTCAGGACCATATCTGTTATCTGAAACAGGGGGAGCTCAATGACAGTCCCTGACATTGCCATTCGGCTCTGGCAGACTGCATTTTCCAATTCCAATACTGAATTTTGAGTTAAACTTTTGCCGTATTTTTTACCTTTTCATTGCAACACCCTAACACCACTTCTAAAGTAATCATCCTTTTCTTCCTGGGATTCTTATCCATTATGAAGAACTCAAGCAAAAAGCTGCAATTGTGTCAAAGGTTAGGTTTGATGTCATGGCTGTTACTTAGTGACTCGATTTCTCATTTTGGGTTCATGACAAAGTGTGGCGTACCTCTAATAGTTATGGCAGAGTTTGACAAACAGACAAATGACTTAGTGACTCGATTTCTCATTTTGGATTCACGACAAAGTGTGACATAGCTCTAATAGTTATGGAAGAGTTTGACAAACAGAAAAATGACTTACAGATATCTTAATAAGTCTAATGCATCTGTGATATGTACTGAAAAGCAGTCTCCTAGAGAGAAAAACCTATAACCGAGCTTATGATTCACCATATTTTAAAAATGAAATTATAGTCGATAACAAGAGATAATGCAAAAACATACTAAATGTAATTTATACTCATGCACTGCGTTGCTGTTTCTCTCTAGAACTATTTTTTTCTATTTTCCATTCTGATATATGAAAATGTGGACTACTTAAACTCCATGCTGTTCTTACTCTCCTGGTTCTGTTCTGCTATAGTCTTGCCAGCCATTCATAATTAATGGTGCGTATAAGCAAGAAGTGACTCTAATAAGAAAACGCATCCGTGGAATGCTTCCTGCGTTTCTAGGTAGGTACCACTGTGGTGCTGAAAGGATAGCTCCGGGTCACCTGTGGACATTCTCGAGTTTGCTTGGCCGAGAAGGGAAAGGCTTACTAACAGAGCCAAAGCAGACCCTGTGAAAACACGCGTGATAGACAACCACTTCGTAACTTCACACCACCCCCCGCAAAAAAACATCTACCGGACCCTTCTTCAAAAAACTGTATCGACGGTTTCATGATCAAACTGATTTTTTTTTAAAGCGGCCCTTTTCCTGTTCCTTTTTCTCAAAGTAAAACCCGGAAGCAGCACATTCCAAAGGAGAAGGGAAAAGTTAATTGTATATATTTGTCTACTATTCGAGCTAGAGGTAGCATGTCCTGAAAATATAGTGGAGAAAGTCTAGAGACTTGTTAGAAGGAATTCTCAGGGTGGAGACAAGAGTTGGAGAGAGGCAGCCTCTCCCGGCTCGACCTGACACTCCTTATTCAGAGAAAACCCTGGACCCAGCCCTGGCGGTCCATCCGTGGCCAGGGAGTTGGGTCTTCCTCCTCCCTCGCCCAGCGCGTAATTCCAGCAGAAGGTAAATTAAGACAAAGCGGCCGCACGCTCCGGTGGGGGAGGGCGGAAAGGTTAAGCGGCGGAGGCGTGCAGGGGAGACCAGAAAGGAAAGTGACCTCATTTGCCTGAGAAAGCACTGTCCAGCAAGCCCACCGTTGAGGTGGACATCCGCGGCCGTAAAAGAGCACAAAAGGCGAAAACTGGAGGGAGCAAACTTCCCTCATTCCTCCACCCCCAGCCTTTAAGACCCCCAGGAACACGCACACACACCGACAACAAAGCGTGCGTCCGGGCTGCCCGGCTGGCGCTGCCCGGGGCCAGGCGCGCGGCTCCCGCACGGCAGAGCCGGGGCTCCAGAGCGCGGCTGCTGCCTGGATCGCCGGGGGAGGGTGGGGTAGAGGAGCTCCCCTACCTTGAGCAGCACAAAGAGCCAGAGCAGAGGCAGGAGGCGGTGGCCACCGCGAGTCCTCGTGGGCAAGTGCCCCATCACTGCGTGGACCCGGACCCCGGGGGATGGCTGCGCTAGCGGACTCCCCCGGCGGCAGCTCACAATGGCGAACTGGGGCTGCAGCTTCAGACCCTGGGCGCCGAGGTTGCGGCTGGCGGGCGCATGCTGCCTTTCCAGCACCCCCCTGCGCCTGTTCCCTTCCTCTTCAGCGCCCGGGGTCCTCCAAGAACGTGCCAGGCGCTGCCGTTCTTTAATGGCTAAGGATGAAGAGGGTGGGGATTGGAGTGGGCGAGGCTCTGCCGCCGCGGCCACCGCCTCTGCGGGGTCCTCGTGGAGAGGCAGAGGCGGGGGCTGTGCTGCCCAGCCCGCTGTGGTCCTCTGACAACAGGGATGCTCTCACTCAGAGCTGCGACTCATAAAGTGAAAGCAGCACCCGACCCTCCCACCGGGGTCGGCCAGCTGCTCTGGCAGCTGGACACCCCCCACTGCAGGCTCCGCCTCAACCCGTCCCACAGTCTCTGGGACTCAGGAGTTCCATCGGTTCCCTGACCCCTCTTAAGCAGGGGGCCCCAGATCCCAGTTTTCACAAGGCTCCTCTCATCCGCCCTCAGTTGCAGTCCTAACGCTTGAGTGGTTTGATGGTGTAGTATGGGGAGGGGAGGGTGAGATGGAAGGGTATTTCCCTCCCTTCCCCAGCTTGCATTCTCCCCATCCTATTAAAACACTCAACCTCTCTCTCCCACACTCACCTAGACAGAAATCGCACAATTATATAGATTTTCCAAGTGAAATCAGGAGTTCTTGTGAATTTCAGACTGTCCTTTGATATCAAAGTCTGCCAGGGCTCCTGAAGCTGAGTGGCCAAGGGGGTGAAATCACCGTATTTGCATACATTGACCCTTGAAAAGCACAGGATTGAATCTCAGAGATCCACTCACACATGGGTTTTCTCCTATCTCTGCCATCAGGACCCAGCAGACCAACACTTTCTCCTCTTGCGTCCTCACCCTACTCAGTCTGTGTAAGGATGAAGACCTTCGTGATGATCCACTTTCACTTCATGTTGTAAATATATTTTCTCTTCTCTATGAGTTTCTTAACAGCGTTTTCTGTTCTCTAGCTTACTTTATTGTACGAATACAGTATGTAATACATGTAACACACAAACCAGGCTGCAATCAACAGTTTAAGTTACAGACAAGGCTTCCACTCAACAGTAGACAAAGTTTTAGGGGAGTCAAAAATTATACACAGATTTTTGACTGCACAGAGATCAGCCCAGACCCTGCTATTTATAATTTTATTGAATGATACTGAATAAATTAATCTGGGAATTTTTAGAATAGAAAGCAAGTGCCCAGTTGTGCACCCCCAGTCTACTTATCAGTCCTCTTTGTTGTTATGTGTATTTGGGGGTACACTGTTCAGATATAACTGATTTCTGATGATCATGTAAATTACCTTTGCTGTGTCCGATTTATCCTTGAGACATGCTTGGGGACCGCAATTCAGGAAAGGTCACCCTGGTCCCGAATATAAGCCAAGGCACCAACTGTATCTCTGTCACAGGGCTAGGGAGTAGTGGCCTGAAAAAGGACCCATGGCTCTGTTTACTCAGCGTTTTACTGGATGAGCAGTGGCCACACACCACACTAATCATTTTGTTGTTGTATGTGTGTGCGCCTGAGATAGTCTTGGATTGAGTATATTTTCCTGCATATACATGAAACATTTAGAGCATGAAATGTTCTATGCATAAAACACAGAACGATGGTCTGAATTTATGTGAGAATATTATCTTTGGCACCTTCTTTCAGAGGCTTCTGTTGTTTTTGCCTCCTTTCCAATCTCAAGCCCACTTGAGTTGCCCCCCGGACCACCCTTTGTTGGCCTGGACCTTTCCTTTCTCTTGGGAACATTTTAGCTGCTCTTTCTCTCTATGGGTCAGACTCATGGACTATCTGAAAATTTTATCCTTGGGACTTGCACTTATTGGGATTTTAGTTGATGTATTTTTCCTTTATTTTGATGCTCCAGAAATAGTATTCTGTGTACACCTTCCCCTAGAAGTAACTATAGTCATCTAATCTCTAGAATTTAGGATGTTGTTCCCCTTAGAAGGAACTATAAGGTGATCTAATCTTCTTAAAGTCCTATAGACTTTGGGAGGCCAGTGGCAAAATGACATTCATAGGATGCCAGCTATTCCTCTTTTGAGGAGAGTTTGGTTTCAAGTATGTGTGTATCTGTGTTGTGAATTATGGTTCTAAATGAGGGTGTTCATTGAATGTGTTGCACGTGTAATATATATATGGTTAGAGGCTTTCCTGATGGGTTTAGGACATTAGAAAACAATTCTGATCATACATTAAACTTGCAAATGCAAAATGACCTTTCACAATGGTGCATCAATAATCATATTTTTCTATGTCTTTTTATTTTTTTCTCAATTATATCACAGTTTGCTCTTTCTGCCCTTGTGGATAGCTACATACAAACCACTTCGGAAAAACAGTAATAGGGAACAGTAAGTAGTCAGCCATTACCCAGTAAAGGATTAGTAATTGGCAGTGCTAATATTTTATTAGTAATACTGTGATTAAATGGCCTGAAGACTGAAGGTATTATTTATAATCACAAAAAAGTTCCTTTCTAGAGAAGAATATTTTACATAACTGTTGCTGGGCAAAATAGTTTCTTTTGTTTTTATTGCACTTAAAACATAACAGTCTGGCAAATTTTCCTAGAAGAGACTCTCATTAAGAATATGAATGCTGCGCCACTAGCAGTGTGGAGGTTTTAATCCACAGAGCATGTAGTGTGTGTGTATTTTAAAGTATTGACTAGCTTTCCAATACTTCCTAAAGGATGGCACATTTTATTATGCTATTCTCAAGACCCCAAATCAACAAGAACAGCCAGAGGCAACGTATAGTTCATAAAGGAATTTACATTTCACCAACTGCTTCGACATGTTTGTTCCAATTTTATTATCACAACAATCCTGTCAGGTAAAGAGGTCTGAGATCGTTATCACCAACTGATTCTCGTAGTGCTGCTTTTCCTAGAGAAAGAACAGAATCTCTTATATGCTGAGAGATAAGGATTTAAAAATTAATTCTTACAAATCAAAACAAATATCTGTACTTCCTTTTAAACAATAATAAGGTGGTTAGTGATTTAGAAACTGGGAGGTCTGCTTTAAGTTTATAAGAGTGTTTTCTTTTTTAAATCAGGAAAAGCAATCTTTTCCTAAATATGTAAAAATGTATCCAATCCTATGTGGTTTTCATCTATCTCTCCTATAGAAAGAGAAGCAATAGCAGCTACGGAGAAGTAGCTAGAATCCCTGTGAGAGGTTTAATGAGGGTCAAATGGAACTCTTACAGTGCCCTTGCCCATGAAGCTCAATTTTGTCCTCCAGGGACCAACTCTAATGTAGTTCAGTGTGTTTCGTCCCGCTTCCACTACTGAAATAGCCTGCGAGGTTGTCAGCAGTTTCGGCATTAGAGAGTTGCATTTATGGGGATGTGCAATGACAAATAATTCACTTGATATGGAATGCTGATAAAAACTCAGGTCATTGATCTCCAGATCAATAGCCATTCGGTTTGTCATCTGCATCTCACATATGACATTTTTTACAGGATACGAACTGTAGATTACAGGTAATATGTTGTTAGGATAGGATGACCAGGCAGCATTTGGATTTTCAATTTATTTGAGAATTTTCAAATTTCTTTTCTCTTGATGAGTACTGGTTTCTTGCCTAAAGAGCTGTTGACAATTGATACATTTTGTGTCTTTCAAAACGGGAATGATTGACAACTCTCAGGTGGAGAATATGTTCCAGCTGCCAAGACTTATTCTTGCCACAATTGAATAGCAGTGAAATACAGTAGAAGGTCATTTTTGCTTTTATATAGAGACTCTTTTCCTATTGCCTCATCTTTCCCCCTAAACAATGTCTATTAAGGGATCTGTCTTATTTGTGCTCCACTCTTACATGGTTTTTTAAAAATCAAATAAAAATATTGCATTAGAAGATAATGGTTTTATACACAAAATCATCTACTTAAAGGAATAAGAACACATATAGAAAACAAGAACATATATTTATCATTGGACACAAATTGCCAGGTATAGGATGAACAAATCTGAATTAGGAAGGCAGATTGTCATTTTCAAGCTATTTAAAGGAAATAACCTTTCAGTTATTAATGTACTATAATGTGACAACTGTTTGTTATTAACATTTCATTTACTTGCCCTAACGTTTTGATAAAAGACACTAAACCGTCTAAAGTTATGCAAGTTTATCCCATAGTTTAATTATATGGGATTCCTTGGCTAGTGAACTTCTAGAATATTTTTTTGTGAGTTCAGACATTGCTATCATCTACTCGCTTGTCCTTTCTTCCTAACTAGGTTTCTTGACTGATTATAACTTAAAGTGTTAATATCTTGCTTGGGAGTAATTACTTTAGCTTAACAAAAAAGCAGCAATAGAACTTGTGTGCAATTTCTAGCTAAAGCAAGACAGGCTGTTTGTTTACTGAGTGGAAATGGTATGTGCTGATCCTTCACTTCTTACAAATGTTTAACTACAGAAAAACTGGTGATAGTGATCGCAGGTACTTTGTAAAGACTAGGAAAACATTAATCACATGATTTGAAAATGTACTGCCTTAATTGCTAAGGATTGTACCCCCAGGGATGGTAATATTGCATTGACATTTATATTTCAAATCAATTTTATGCTAAAATGGGAAAGCTCCTGCTATTCCCAAATCTAACTGTGAAAGAAGGAGTAAAGATGACTGTAGTCTGGGAGTCGGGGGGTGGGGTGGGGGGCGGTAGGGCATGCTGCTGCTAGATTGGTTTTGTTACCTGTCTTAGAAGAAGGATCTAGAAGAAAATGTTTGAGGAAAGCAGGAATGTTTTGGAGAAACTTAATGATGCTCCAGGGAAAACTGAAACAACCTCATAAAAAGATGGAGAGAAAAGGCAAAACAGTGAAGTCACACATTTCTAGCTAGGCTTACTTAGTGTGAATATCGGTAAGAGGAGCCATCAGGAGAGGGAGAGGAATATAAAGATTTCACTTGTTTGGTAATTTGAAAAAGTGGAGAAATCATAAGGCTAAGCACTTAACGTACATTAGAGAGTGGTGTGCATGAACTCCAATCAGTTATCAATATGTGTCTCACTCGACAATGACCATTTCCAACCTTTTCTGCTCACCTGACATATCGGCTCCCTGCCCTGAAGTCTCCTTCAGTGCTTTGGCTTCACCTTCTGCCCTACAGAGACACAGAGGCCATCGAGTGACATCCTCTTCATCTTCCTTGACAGCAGGTGTAATCCCACCCAAATCTACCTCCCATTCTATGCCCCCTGTCTTGCTGAGAACAAGACGCTCTCTCTCAATAACCACAAAAGTCTAGTCTTGGCATTTATCTCATCTATTTTCTGAAGCTCATTCCTTCCAGCCTTCCCTGTCCTCTTATTTTTAACCTCTTTCTTTTGATGGATTCCATCTGTTAGGTTTTAGCACTCTATCTTTAGAATAGCGGCCGGGGGCGGGGGGGACTTCACCAGATCCTTCCTGCCCTCCTGCCTCCCCTTTTCTTTCTCCCCTTCTTTCATCCCTGCCACTGCCCCTCCAGAGTAATATTTTCCAAAGTGTATATACTCTGTGTCACCTTTTCTTTAATCCCTACTTACTCTTCTATCTCTCCCTGTGGCTTCTGCTCCCATCATCAGACCAGCCCTGCTTTCACCAAGGTCCACTAGGAACTTCTTGGAAGAATACACTATACTGGCCACTCTTTTCCTCTTACAACACTCTCTTTGTTTTTCTGTGATTTTCCATAACCCTACACATCCAGGTTTTTCTTCTAGATCTCTGGAATCTCCCTAGCTGGTTCACTCCCCTTGCTGGCCATTTAATGTTGGAATTTTCAACACTTCATTCTAGACTCTTACCATTTTCCTCTATGTTCTTGCCCTACTCAATCTAACCTTCAGCCATGTCTTCAACCTCTGCCTCTGCAGATGATCCCTGGGGTTCTGTCAGTGGCCTTAATAGAATACTCTTTTATACTCAGACTCAGAGAGCTAACTGCATGCATGGACTTCCTTCAAGCATTACAAACATCTCTAACTTAAACAGGTCTGAAAATGACCTCATGATAATCACCTACAGAAATTCTTACCTCTTTAAATAATACCAAGACAAACCATCCACACAAGCCAGAACTTAACTTAGACGTTCGCTTGGTTTCTGTGTTGACAATATACACTTGGAGGGGAGGAGAAAATTAGAAGACTAGATAGAAAGCTATTAGATAATGTAGGTAAGAAACAAATGTGTAGTGGAGATGCTAAGAATTCTTGCATAGAGAGAGGCTTTTGTAGATACAGAAAATAAGATTTCCTCATGAACTAGACAGGGAAAAGGGGAGAAATAAAGGATGGCACCCAGGTTTTGGGGTTGGACAGAAAGGATGAACTTATCACCATCTGAAAAAAGAAGAAAAGGTGCAGATTTGGGGGGAAGACTAGCTCATATTGGACTTGTCAATTTTGAGGCATTTATTGACATCTAAGTAGAGATAGTAAGTAAGAATGAGACAAATAATTCTGGATCTAATCAGAGGTTAGATCTGGACTGGAGTAATACGTCGGAGGTTCTTCAGTGTATAAAATGGTTTTTAAAATTCTGAAAGTATCTGAAATCACTATGGGAAAGTATGGATACCAAAGAAAATGTCCAAAGACCAATAATTAGTTCAATTTCTACTTTCTGGCTTTGCAATAATGTAGCAATAGGATCTCTGGAACAAATGGAGAGAAAAAAATTCCTTCTCCTCCACTTAGATGTGGACAAATTGTCCCCCATACATAAATCCATAGAGGGTTTCTCTTCAATAGCTATAATAGTATGATCTGTTTATAAAGCAAGTATGATAACCAAACTTAATGAGACAGTCCAAATATGTAAATGTAAGTAGATACCAACTTAAAAATTTCTATGTGTGTATGTGACGTATTAAACATTTTGTTAATAGTGTTTTAGTTTTATTAGGCTTACTATTTCTCCTACTATTATATTACCTAATATTTAGTTAGCAAAAAAGCCCTCATTCAATTCATTTGTTCTCTTATTTATTAGGCGTCTATTGTATGTCAAGTCTTTTGCTTAGATCTTGTGACTATAACATAGTTGGTTTTGCATTTTCCTATTCCTTATATTTTACAAAACTTGCCTTTGGATTTAGTTGAGCAGAAAGAAAGTGTGAATATGGTTATTCTTAGAGAGTATAAAAATAGATATGCAAAAATCAAATATACTAGCGTCTACTATTTTATAACTGCAAGAATATCAGCAAAATTTCATGTTAAAATCTTTGTTGTAAGAACATGACATTTAAAAAATCCCTACTGCTGGGACATCCAAGGATTTTATTTAAAAAAATGGACTGAGTTACTCTGTATTCAAGAAACCAATTATATATTAGAGTTATGGGGTCCTTCAGCAACCTCAGGAGCTGAAAGATGTCCTGGGAATCTCACTGCTTGCTCTCAAAGCTGCTAATTCTTCTAGGTCTCCACTAATCCATATCAAACTACTGTTAAGTTTTTCATCCTAAACTAAATACACTGGCTTGTCCTTGATATCAAGAACCCTTGTGTCCATTTTTCTAAATATAAATTCTGAGAACTATTTATGGCCATTTTTCAAAAGGATAATAACAAATAAAGGTAAACATATTTAAAAAAAAAACTCCTAAAGATTTATTTCTAGACTCCAGGTTCCACAAATTAATAGGCCATGTTAACAATGATCCAATGAAAAGTTCATTTGCTTTGGTAACATATATCCCTTAATCTTCCTTATGACCCTTGAACTTTAAAATTAAGTTTACTCTAAATTATCATGTTACAGAATAATGAGGAACAGCAGCAACTAAATTATCTTCATTTTCATTTGTTAAAAACAAAATATTCAAATATGCTCAAAGATTTTCATAAAGCACGAAGGTACCTCCGGTTACTGAGTTATGCAATGGAACTAGAGTATAAAGCAAAAGTAGAGATCTGTATCAATATGAAGAAGGACACTTGTCTACTTACAGATGTGGAAAGACAAGTTCAAACACATGCCAAGCCCTGAGAAACCACCAACGCTGCTCTGCAAAGAAACAGAAGCCTCATGCTTCTGGGCAATGGAGGTTAGAATCTACTAACATAGGAAGTGTCTCCTAGAGAGAATGTGAATCAACCCCAAACCTCAAATTTTAAGTATCATTATTTGCTCTTTGGAATACGTAGGAATGCTGAGAGATCAATAACCAAATGTCCAGCTTTCTACAAATTGTTTATGAAATTTCCATATGCCCTCTGAGCTGTGGAAAATAATGAATGTCCTGAAATTTGCTGGTCCAAATTTTTGTATTTTATAAACTTAGAAAATAAATTAGTAATACATGTAACTTTAAAGGTTAGTAAACATAAATAAAGTAAAGCTAAGGAAAACTGAAAAAAGATGTTAATAAACAAGTAAGCCTAACATCATCCAGGCTCATCCATATTGTTGCAAATTGATCTCATGGAAGTTGAGAGTAGTGTACTGGTTTCCAGAGGCTATAGGGAGAATGGAGGGGAGGGGCAGAAAGGTTGGTCAACAGGCATAATGTTACAGTTATAGAGGAGGAATAAATTCTGGTATTTATTGCATAGTAGTGTGGCTATAGCTAACAATAAATGTATTTTATATTTCAATTAGCTAGAAGATTGAATTTGAATGTTCTCACAACAAGGAAATAATAAATGTGTAAGGTGATAGATTTGTTAATTACCATGATTTCATCATTATACAATGTATACATATATTGAAACATTGCATTATACCCCCAAAACATGTACAGTTATTATGTATCAATTAAAAAATAAATGAGCAAACATAAACTAAAATATTGCTTAAATTATACATAAAAATCATACGATGACAACATGGTTTAAGAACATGCAAGCTTATCTTTTGAAAGCACTGATTAAAGAACCAACTTTTCATATGATACACTGAGAAAAAATAAGGACAAAAATATTGAAAATAAAAAATGAAGCATAGTTCTTTTGCTTAGATTTTTTTTTTTTTTTTTGGCAGTTTTTGGCAGGGGCTGGGTCCACCTCGGTATATGGGGCTGGCGCCCTACTCCTTTGAGCCACAGGCTCCGCCCTTTGCTCAGATTTTTTTAAAAAATAGAGGCTCTTATAATGAACTAATTCACTGGAAACTTAGATACAATGTTCAACCTTCTGCCTTTTAATTTTTCTATACATTTTTATATATCATAAATTTTTCTCTAATGTGGATATACCTTGTATTGTGATATCATCATTAAATTCAAGATTTTGTACTTTCATTATGATTTTTGGACCTGTGAATTTATGTAGAAGCATATTACTTTTTTTCTAGATTTGTTTATTTTTTATTGATACATAAAAGTGGTATGTATTTATGATGTAAAACATGATGCTTTGAAATGTATATGCATTGTGGAATGGCTAAATTGAGTAAATTAATGAATATATTGTCTCACATACTTATTTTGGTGTTGTGAGAACATTGGTATTAGTATTTCTTTAAATGTTTGCTAGAATTTAGCAGGGAAGCCATCAGGTCCTGCGCTTTTCTTTGATGGGTGGCTATTACTGACTCAATCTCCTAACTTATTATTCTAGTATGGTGTTTCATTTCTTTATACAGGCAGTCCCCAAGATATAGACTTCTATCATTCCATACTTACAAATGGGGTCCCCATAAAAATAATTTACAATTAAATAATTAAATTAATAATTTGGAACTAGTTTCTTCTATGCATGTGACCAATCCCACAAGACATAAGTGGTTTTTTGGTGCAACATCTTTAGGCTAGTGGTTAGTCTCATTTTTTATATGGTTGCTTACACACAGCATTACTTTCATCTTAGCTTTTTTATTTGATTTTGTGAGTCTGTGTTTATTTATAACTATGTCTTCAAAGTGAAAGTCCATTCTAAGTCCAAGTGAGCCTGTAAGGAAGAGAAAGGAGATTACAGTGGAAATGAAAATAGAATTAATTAAGCAATTGGAGAAAGGTAGACACCACCATTCACTGAGAAAGCATAAAACTTCAGTTACTCAACTAGCAGAACAATTATAAAGGATAATATGTGAATAACTGAGCAAGTGAAAGGCATTAT